TCTGTAATCTAGAACAAAGGTCCATAGACAGTCCCCAGTTCCATGGAGAGTGCGAACTTGTGGAACATGCTAGGGCATGTGTAGTAGAAGAACCTGAAATACATCCAAACTGGTCTGGGTGTAACCGTTTCAGAACAGCTGGCTTCATATGCTCTGGAACAACAAAATGTTCTGCGATTTTCAATAAAGTAAGGGTAAGGGAATTAGGTCTAAGATCTTTCCCGATATCCTCTATGTTGTTAACTTTGGTAAGAAGAGTGATGTTGGCGCATTTCAAAATGCAGTTTAATAGATAAATAAATAAACAACTTACATATACAATAATATTTCAGTTTCAAGTAAAGTAAAAATACGAAATTTTACACATCTACGCAATATTTTCCATTCACAACCATACGCTTTTGTCCATAATTAATTTCAAAATGTTTGCTAGTTATGACAGAATTATAATTGAACACAAATTTGTCCACAATTATTGAGGCAGCTTTTTTTAAATAGTCTAATTGTTGCGCTCTGGATTGCTTGGCAATGTCTGTAGGAAGTGGAAACTTGGTTGGTTGCCTTTGTTTGTCTGTAAACCCCAGTACTGACATTGCAGCAGCAATCACTCTTGACTTAAGGATGATGAATAGTATGTCAGGACTCCCTGTTTATAAGGGTGTGGTCGGAACACAAGAAAAACCCGCATATAAGAAACTAAAGATTTAAGAACCTATGGGCTGAAATTTGGCATTTTAATACTCATGTTTATAAGAACCTGTTTAGCCTGGCGAGGAAAAGAGGTTTTTATACAAAAGATCACTCCACTTTTGATTATCAAAATTCTGGATGTTAACTGTGTGTGAAACCTCTAATATGTTATTGTTTATATATTAAGCTTGGCATGCATATGTTTGTTATTTAAATTAGTTCTAAACCATTGTCTATTAGTATGGTAATGTTTCTGTAAATGAATATTCTACGCCAAACTTTGAAAAATTAAGAACCTATTAAGAACCTAATCAACCTGCTTTGTCAAAAAGTACCTTGAAATATAAAAACCTGTTCAGCCTGATCTCGAAAATTCTAGGTTCTTATATGCGGGTGTTTACTGTATAGTGTGCAGCTGTTACTCTCTGATTTGCCAGAGGAGAACTTCTTGAAGATGAGCCGCATAATAAAAAAACACATGAGGCAAGCAACCATGTATTGCACATAGTTAAAAGCCTTTAAGGCATATGTCGGCTCAGTCCTACTCAAGCATTTCATTGAACTTCACTAATGGCTAAAATAGAATCATTATAAATGTGTCACTCTACAAAAAAGTTTCACATATCCAAATAAGCGTCCATGCACCCTGGTCAAACAACATTTAAAGGGGAAGGAAGGAGTTTTTCTAGACCAAATGGAATATCATTTGAGTACATAATTACATAATTTTTACATCATGGAATTATTTCTTCGGAAAAATTGTTTTGTTGATACCACATACTGACTGCTCATCGACAACATTCACACTGTTATAAAAATTCTGGTCCAAAATGACTTCCTGTTCAACATGTTAAATAGTGAAATGGTATAACCTTGTCCTAGAAACCATATTCTGTTCAGCGGCACACAGCATTTAAAATAAGGGTTTGCACATGCCCTGCCCTCCCACCCTGGGCTCTCCAAGCAGCAATACCATTTAAGATCACTGTGGCGTAGCTTCCATGTACAAATACAGGCAAATAATAATATTAATAAAAATAATGATAATAATTTTTTTTAACTTGCTGATAGAATTTTGACTCCAGCATACTAATTACCCAGTTGCAAGGTAATTCCTTCTAAACGATCCTTTGGTTTGTAACCATTAGCAACTGAGGAGATAACGGTGACTGCCCTCTCAACAGCGAGTTGATCCCCTAAAAATAGGTGTGAATCGTATCCTTTGTCAGCTGAAGGAGGAAGGTACGTATGGAACTGTTGTAGAATAGAAAGCATGTCTTCATTGCTGAAAATGACACCGAGGGACCTAAAAAAGGATTTTTTCAGAATAAATATGCTATTCCACAAAATCTCAACACACATCTGGTAATCATGTACTGTAAAGGAGAGTGGGTTTTTCTGTTTACTTAATTTTATCTATTTGTACAGGCTGAAGAAGAATCAGATTTTTAGTGCAAGGTACTTTAAATACCGCTCATAATCTATGAAATTAAGAATTGAAGCTGCCGCTCCCTTGTCTACTTCCATCTGTAATCGAACATCTTGGATCTGCTCGTGAATTTTTACTGCAGGCACTGAAAGTCCCGATTTGCAAGACTCAGGTTTTCTCTTCTGTCCCACATCAAAGATGGACCTGAGAAACTCATCCTCTGGAATCCTGATCCGTGTGACTTATATGCTGTTTTTCCATCAACCATTTCAGTGGCGGTTTCACATTAGGGACCTTAAGATCCAGGACGGGAGAGAGGACGACGGCGCGCCAAAGGAAGGTAAGGACTGGGCCTAGGTCCCCGTCTCACGCGATGGATAAATAGCTTAAGATTGTTGCCGACTGGGACTCCATTTTGCTTCCAGAATATTTTGGCCATTTTGGTTTATTCTACAGCATGTTAAACATTTCATATCGTGGATTAGGAAGCGTTTTTTTCTTACATCTTGGGTATTGGGGGCTTCAAAACATGACGTAAGTTTTAAGCTTATATGTCAGCTTAATTCGTCATCTAGCTGATGTCGTAGTAAAAAATTTTTCTTTTCCTCTCTGTTGCTTGATTTGTTCAGCTTGTTATCTTATGTTTTGTGTGTAAAAATACGCGTTAAAATGAGTTTTAAGCATGCAAGAGATGCCTTGGTTCTATGTCATGACAACGGAGTGATAGGCGACGAGGAATTTTGCTTGCTATACGATGCAAATCGATCGAAAAATCCCGAATTTCCGTACGAAGAGTATGGAAAATTTGATCTTGAAGATATGGAGGACGATGAATGTAAAGCGGAATTTCGCTTCCATAAAGAAGACATCCCGGTGCTGGCAGAAGTCCTTGGTTTACCCGAAACTTTCACCTGCAGCCAGGGATCCGTGACTAATGGCATTGAAGGGCTATGCATTATGCTGAAAAGATTTAGCTACCCCTGCAGGTACTCAGATTTAATTCCCCGTTTTGGTCACGCTGTTCCTGTGATGAGCATGATCTGTAACACAGTAGTTGACTTCGTTTACAACCTCCATGGCCATAGAATAACCGAGTACAATCACAACCTTCTTGATTCGGCTAGCCTTCAAGTCTATGCAGATGCAGTTTTTGCAAAAGGTGCCGCCCTGGATAATTGTTTTGGTTTTGTGGATGGCACGGTCAGGCCCATTTGTCGCCCTGGGGAAATGCAAAGAGCTGTATACAATGGACACAAACGTGTACATGGACTAAAATTTCAGTCAGTTGCTCTACCAAATGGACTCATCGCAAATCTTTTTGGACCTGTAGGTTAGTGCATTATTCATTTCGGCTAATACCAAGGCAATGGGAAGGTATAAACATGAGGCATATGATTTCTTTAAATCCCTTGGCCACTTGTAGTGTTGGCTTTTTTCTTCAGACTGAACTCAAATGATTCTATTCATGTGACCTCTGTCACGAATTGTCAGAGTTCACATGCATTGCAGTACGTTATGACATAGACACATTTGTTTTGTAACTTACCGTACCTGTGAACAGATGTATATAGGGAGACAACATAAAACTTATATGTTAATTTATTAGTAGGTATTTCTACATAAATGAGTTGAGCCTCAAATAAGCACACATATCTATCAAGGTCACAAGGGTTTTGGCTTTACATAGTATTACTGTAACTGGTTTGAAGGAAGTATTAAATTTCAAGATTGTAAGCTCAACATCAACAATATTTCAAAACTCCACTATATCTCTTTTACAGAAGGGAGAAAACATGATGCATCAATGCTGGATGAGTCTGGTCTGTTGAATGAGCTCGAGAGGCATGCATTTTCACCAACTGGCCAGGCAATGTGTATTTATGGTGATCCAGCATATCCCCACCGTGTTCATCTGCAAAGACCATTTCAGTATGGAGTACTGACACATCAGATGCAAAGTTTCAATGAGTCCATGAGTAAAGTTCGTTCCTCAGTCGAGTGGATTTTTGGGGACATCATTAACTATTTTAAATTTTTAGATTTTAAGAAAGACTTGAAGCTGGATTTAAGCCCCATTGGGAAAATGTACATTGTCTGTGCCTTACTTAGGAATGCACTTACTTGCCTTTATGGTAACACAACCTCTGAGTTTTTCCAGTTAGACCCTCCATCTCTGGAAGATTACTTTGCTTAAGTGTCATTCATACTTGAGGGCATAGCTGAATGTTTTTGGTTTGTAGGCTTGTTTTAACAGAAAATCTCCACAAGGAATTATACACATAAGAAATATTACAGGGAACCAAGGGTTCTTGACAAAACTTTTAATGGCAGCTGTCGCCCAGATACTGTTAAGTCTGCATCAATTTCTTTCTTAGTATGATGAGCAGTGCTTCACAGATTTCCAAAATGCCTTTTGTGTCTAGGATTTTGACACCAAAAAAATAATATCCATACTCTGTCCATGGAAGGGGGTGCAATGTCACCCCCACCCCTCTGGAATTTCTAAATGTAAGCAGTGATTCGTATGGAAAACAAGGTCTTTTTCCCCCACCCCCAATATTATGCTATATGCTAAAACTGAAGAACAAACCTATGAAAATGAAGTAATCATTTATTTACTACAATCCAAGATAAAAAAGTATATACAGTGTAATATGCTATGCTGTTGTTTTTGTTAGAACAAGTGTAACACTTTTTTCAACATGTTTTCAAGTATAGCAATTCTAAATGCTCTTTTTGAAATACAATATTTGAGAAAATGGTTGACACTCAAAAAATTTAAAATACACTGTAAGTATCAATAGAACAACAAGAAGGCAAGGTTCAATATCATTATCATGCACTTGCACACTCATATGAAATCTGCTCAAGCAGTTCTTGTTCACTTCTCCAAAAATTTAGAAAACATGGTTATCATCATGGTCTGGAATCCATCAATTTGCTTCTGTTGCTGTGCCAGCTGCTGGCTCATCAACTTCATCATAGCTTCATTCTTCTTGGCTTCTTGCTGCAACTCCTGCTTTTTCAGCTCCAGCTCCTCTTTTTTAAATTCATCCAACATTTCATTCCTCTCCTTTAGATACTCCAGGGTGTTGTTTCCACTTGATCTTCTTTTCTTCCCCTTTCCTTCAATCTCACTTCTTTTCATTCTGTCTCCCAGCCTCTCCATTGCCCTCTTTCTCACTTCCTCAGCATCTTTCTTATCTTCCTTTACCTTCCTCTTTTGTGCTGCTGTCTCCTGTTGGTCTCGATCAGCCTCATCTTCTCTCACAATGAGGTCTTCCAGGGCTTGCTCTACCTCTGTCAATTCTGGGGTGCTAATCCCACTTGCTCTTTCCTCCTCTCTAATTTTCCTCCTGTATGCTTTGGCAAGTAGACCATACCTTTCTCTAACACCTCTCTGGTCAACCTTAAATTTGGGGGCTTCTACTTGCAAAAGGCGCTCAGAGATTTCGTTCCACTTCCGACCTCTTTGAACTGTCCCACGTTTTGTGCCAGCAAAGGGGCTGTTCGCTAGCATTTCTCTGACTAAAATGACATCATGTTCCTCTGTCCAGAACATCCTGTCATACGAAATGTGGCATAGTAAATAAACTATCAATGACAGTAGTGAAAGAAACAACACACAATCTACAAAAACTCTATCATATTAATAGAGGACAACAAAGAAACGCCTTACGATGAAAGGTAAGCCCCACTGGTAGTAAGAAACAAATATAATGCTAAGAAATAAATATAATAAGTGAACTGTGTAGGAAGTTAAAAAACACATGCATGATGTGTAATTTTAGCATATTCAAGTGTGAGGAACAGTGAGACCTATTTTAAAACTTTGTTGTGAAAAGGGAAGAGACAAAGAGCTATCGAGCTACGAAAAAATGCCGAAGAGGTTGGTTGTATACAAGAAAATATTTAATACAAAAATATTGGCACTAGTAAGTGCAGTTGTTCAATAGAAAACCGACAAGAAAAATTTCGGTCCCGAAATGTTTTCCGGAGTTTTGATAAACGCACGCCACTGGAGAGGAAATTGAAAGGTTTGACAAAAGCCGGGTTGAGACAGCTATTCAGCAATTCAAGTCAAAACTCCACAGAAACACAACAGAAGTAGTCTTATTTCTATAAAGGGAGGAAAAACACTCTTGGGAAGTTTGTCGCTTGGAGTTGTTTTTCTCTTTCACGCGGAATACACGAAAAATATAAACTCCGTACGACAGTGGCAAGTAGAAACTCAATAAAAAAGAATGACTCTGAAAGTGGTATTTATATAAGCATTAAACAATGATTGAAAGCAGAAAAAAATGACAGGAAAAGACAAATTACACCTGCAACATCTGCACGACAGGAGCCAACAACAAATAAAATGAGCCAACAAAAATATTTACTTATGCTGGCTTTTTGTTGCTTGTTTCCTTTGAACATGACGGGGAGGGGGTCGAGGCAAACTGAGCAGAGCTCATTACGAGGTTTACAGGACTAAATCTCTGAGAAAACCAAAGAAAATCAAGTACATAGAGGGCACAACGTCAAACTGGTGTTTTTGCCGTCGGCAAAATTACCGTTACTCTAAAAATTGGATTTTATGCATCCAAAACGTTTATTATAAGGTACTTTAGCTTCAGAAAACAATCTGTGCACTAATTCCTTAAGAAAAAATTGTTTTAGACCCGAGCAATTGCCATTGTTTTTGGTGGTTTTTAGGGTTTCCCTTGGCCAAAAACTAGGGGGGTGGTCAATCTCGAGAGTGAAAAGCTGGGAAATCTTGTTCATGTCACCAAAGTTAATCTTATCAGCTTGGTTTTAAATGCTGAAAAAATAAAGGAAATCGGCTGACCCCAACCTTTTGGCGCTGCCCGGTTTTCTCTGACAATGGCTCTTAAAAAACAACTCCTTCTGCATCAACCATAATTACCATTACTATGGTCTCTGGCATGATTAGAAGAGCAGGCCCAATTTGATGGTGGCTTAACTTATTATTGGATTAATGCTTACTGAAGGTGGTGTTGATCTTGGCTGTGCGGGAACTGCATAGTTCTCCAACGTTCCTAGACTGTCACTGAGGTGCTTCATTGCTGCCCTTGTTTCAGCCATAAATGAAGTTAAGGTGACTTCCATTCTTTTTAGTGTCTGGCAGAAAACATGGTGAGAAAAACAGGTCAACATTATGTCACTTCGAACTTATTAGCCAATTCAAATTCAAAGTTGTCTTAATAATGGACAGTTTTTGTAGCTTACCTCGAAAACCTTAACTGATCACTGTCAGTCGTCTTCTTGAGTTAGATTGTCTGAAAGCCAGTCCAGCCATTTGATATGCAAGGACATGTCTTACATGTCTTGGGCTTCCTTGATCCTCTCGAGTTGTTCCTCTCTCCTTCCCAATTTCTCTCTGTTTTTTCTTTCCAGTTCTTCCCTTTTCCTTTTCCTTTTCTTCTTCCTTTCTCTCTTCTCTTTTTCTGTTCTTTCCAACTCTTCCCGTCTTCTTTTGTCTTCCGTTTCTTTGTCTCCCTCTCCTTTCTTTCCAGTTCTTCCCTTTTTTCTTTTCTCCTCCCTTTCTCTCTTCTCTTTCCTTTTAAACTCGTCCCTTATTCTTTTCTCTCTCCTTTCTTTCCAGTTCCTCCGTTTTCTTGTCCTCCTCCTCTCTCCAATTCTTCTTTTATCCTTTTCTTTTTTCTTTCTCCCGTCTTTCTTTCCATTTCCTCCATTCTCCTTTCCTCTATTTCGCTCCCTTCCTTACCTCAATTTCTATTTCCTCGCATCTCCTTTCCTCTTTCATTTCACGGTCTTTTAGATCCTTTCTTTTAATTTATTCCCCTCTTTCCTCCCCCCTGCCTTTTCTGTTCAACCCTTCCTTCTACCTCTTCTTGTGCTTTTTGTCCCAAGTTTCCTTTCCTCATTTCCCTCTTCTACCCTCCCTTATTTTTGTCTCCTCCATGCATCAAACGCCAACTCGACTCCCTCCGGCTTTTCCCTTCTAAATATTGCGCATACAATTCCTCCTCCTTCTGTTTGTAGATGGGGAGGTCTGAGGCATTGTCTGGTTTGTCACGCTTTTTGTTGTTTGCCCTACCGTTTTGATTAAAGTGCCTGATGTCATGCGTTGGGGAACTGGAACCTTTTTTTGTTGTTTGCCAGACGGAAGTGGTGTGGCTTTGGCGCCAATCTTGAATTCTGAAAAATGGTGGACAAAACTAACAAGAAATTTATCACTTTAGAAACAGTCATAAAGAAATTATCAAAGAGGACTCATTTTAATCTCAGGACAGCCAGACATTGGCAAAATTTTGCCACAAACTGCAAATAAAGTTAACAGGCACTAAGAAGGAACTGCTTGAAAGACTGCTTCCTCTCAAAAACGAACACTTGTTCGACAGAAGAGTTAACAGCATTTGCAAAGAATAAAGTTTCAACAGCTCTTTCAGGGGAAGAAATACCACCACCCATGGCTGGATGGAAATGTGATACTTTGCTTTTCCCTAAAGTTCAGAAGGATGTCATCAGAAAATATCAATCGCACAAACGACAAGGAATGACTGGGCAGTTTTCATAAGGCTCAGAGAATGTTCTCCCTGAGGCGAATGAAAACTGTAAAGGGTTTAAAAGATGGGAATACGCTTTACATCAAATCAAGCATTTTCAAAAGCTTTTTGTCGGAAGTCACTCTCACAGTTACTTTTCTATTTGTTGGCAAAGTTCCTCAAAGATGCTTTTGTGAGTGTCTTATAGGGAAATGTGGTCTTTGTTGTCATGTTATTGTAATACTACTCCAACTCGAACATTTTGAGCTTTTTCTGTCGTTGACATGCACTCAGAAATTGCAAAAAAAGCACAAACCAATTAAAAGAAGGAAATCAAATATCACGACTGCGTCTCATTTTTGCCTAAAATATTTTAGGAACGAGAGATTTGCAACACACGAGGTTACTCAAAAGAGGCAGAAAAGGAGGGTTACTGCTACACCAGAAAATGTTGATTCTTGCAGAGACACAAGTGACTGGCTAAAAAGAGACATCATACAGATAAGCTCTAAACTATCCAATGGAATATCAAAGTGCAATATGGAAGTGTCAAGTCATATTCTTCAGATATTGCAATAATGTGCAATCAGACAATCTGGGTTATATTGCCACCTCATACAGAGGTGCATATGTAAATAAAGTTATACAGAAAGAACAAGAACTGTGCAAAGCAAATACCCAGCTTTGATGAAAACATCCTCAAACAAACATTTTTAGGAGAGACGGGAGATATCTGGCATAGTGCACTGGTTCCCTCAAAGTCTAACCCATCAAACCAAGAGATAAGCATTGATCATTCCACTGCAACAATCTCAGTCTGTAATGAACATTTCTTTTGTTCAGAAAAGACCCAAACATTGCTTAATTTGCTTAAAGAGTCTCAGGATGAGTTCATAACTATCACGATTCCAGAGTTAAGAGAAGTGAAGCTCAGTTCAACAAACAATCATTACATTGACATGGCTAAGGGTACATCAGTGGCAAGCAACTTGTGTAGGAGGTATCACTGCTAGCAACTTACCATCTCTATTGGGATTCTATCGATACAAAAAAATTTGATTGAAGTTGGTTTTGCATACGTGATAAAGTACATGAAATCATTTGCAAACCCAAGAAATTTAAAAACTTTCAGAGAGGCAACAGTTTCGAATGAGAAGCTTTGGAGAGCTGCTCCAAACTTACTGGTGAGTAACGGTAAAATTTTATTAACTGGAAGACAATCAGAACACTAAATCGGTGAACTCATCTAATAGAGACATACAAAATATTACATAAAAATCTTTGTAAGTTATCAGGGAGCTCATCATAATATTTCCCTGCACAGTTTCACCCCACAACTATGATTAAAGCCGTAAGCAAAAAAGAGCTTACCTCTCCATTGTGTTCTCCAAATATCTTCAACATCAACAGTGCTATAGGTCTCTTGAAGAAAGATAATATCATACCTCTGTTCATTTAGCCAGGTAAAAAGGGCTTTCCTTTTCATGGCGGATCAAATCCCTGGAACATTAAGAGAAAGTAATTTAAAATCCAAAAATTCTTTCATGAATGGGTAAAACTAAATGGTGCGCATACAAATAATTTTCCACCGCAGCAGTACACAAAAAAATTGAAAAGAGGTAAAAACTGAGGTATAAAAACACAGAACAGGTAGGTAGAAAACACACACACTACTCCCAATTGTTCTAACCTACACATGCCCCTCCCGTTACAAAAACAGTCTGATGAAAATTATAAACAAGTCAATTAAAATAAACTAGGTCCAAAAACCTAGATTTGTCTATTAGGGAACAAATCAGCCATTGATGAATAATTTATCAGGTTCTGGTTTACTAAAGAAAGCTATCTTTCCCTCCTCTCTTGCTTTTTTAAGATGTGGTCACTGCTTTTTTCTTCTTTTACTTATTTCATTAGGAAAATCTGAATAGACCGTAATATCGATATCATCTGCCAGCTTGCGCACTCTTCTAAAAACCAGCTCACCAAGCGAAGAAACGGTCAAATAATTTACCTTCTAGATTCTGTAACCTGCTTTCTACCCCTGCTA